TTCCTCTTTCTGATTTTTTTATTTTGGCAGGTATGCAAGTACCGTGCACGCGCGGCCAGCATGAGTACATCAATACCAGTTACCCCTCTCGTGCTACACGCATGTGCTCTGTCCATTTTAGGGTCGCCTTATTGAACGTAGTCTGGTTCCCTGCCGAAAGATTCCCAGACGACCCTTGATAATGATTCGTCGGGTAGTCAGAATCATCGGGTCTGGTATCCGGACTATAGTGAACGAACTTAGCTAATACGTGCGTGTGGATAAGTGTACATGTATGATTTCTGTACCGTAACTGTTTCACGTACCAGTACATGTATGTACTGCATTGCCGAGTAGTGATGTGAATTGGCTTTCCGTCCTTGTTTCGTCCTTAGGGGCACGTTATCAATTATTGAATTTGCAGCATAATAAATCGAGAATGAATTTGCTGGGATAGACCATGGAGGTAGAAATGAACCAGGGTAAATCAAAACCATTTATGGGAGGGGCGCTATCTGGTGGGGGGGTGCGCATGAACAGACACACCAGAACACCCTGGGCTCGGATCTCTGTTGGTGTTATTGCTCTATTTAATTTCAGTAGCAGACAGGCCAACAACGGAGGCGACGGCAAACATGAGGAATTTTAGCAGCCATTTATGGATTAAGGGCTAGCCGCTTGAGTGGGTATTTTGTTTCATTTTAAAGCGGTCAGACGGGGACAAGGCCTAGCCACTCAAGGGGTGCATGTTGCTAACATCTCCTTAATTCCACTATTCCCTTCCAAGATAGATCTAGATTACTGTCAGACACTCCTGATCACTCCTTTCTGGCTGCGCCAGCCCTGGTCCCCCAGTTTTAAAAGACTTCTGGTTCACCATCCATTTTTTCTCCTGTCCAGACTGGACATTTTCTGCTACCTAAGGTTGGGAACTTTTCACCTGGCTCCCGGTGATCTGCTTCTAACTAACTTGGTATTGGCCAAAAATCTGTTTATTCGACAGGACTTTCTAGTGACAGTACGGCCATGGTTGCACGAGGAAGTTATCTGCAAACCTGTTGAATTTATGACAACAGAATTTAGCATTTTGTCATGCGCTGTGATGTTCAGGCTTTGGCTCCAGTTAACTCTCCTTTGAGTACTATAACAGATTTCCAGATGTACTTCTTTCTCTCGGAGCTGCAAGTATCAACAACACATATCTACAAGTCAGCCCAAGCTGTAATCTAAGTCCAAGCCTATGTATGTATGTTCATCCAGTGTCCCCTCTTCAGGTTGGTCTTGTCGTGACACCTAAAGTAGGTTTTCTAGATGCTTTCTGGTCCTTCCTTCCAAATGATGTCTCCCCAATGCACACAAGCGTCAGGTTTGTTTCTCCTGATAACGGCTACCTCCAGCTACTAGAAGAGGCAGCGAATTGCAGGCTCTCCCGTTGCCGAAGGCTGTCTTCGTTGGGAGCCTCACAGTGCTCACCTCATTCCTTCAACTGTCTTCCTGACAAATGACCAAACCCCTCACTTGATCCTTCGGATACTTCTGTGTCCTCCGTCTCCTTAGACGTCATCCCCGAATTGACTTCTTCCGTGAATTGTCCGCAACGGAGGTATTTGTGCTGAAGCGTGAAGGGTTTAATGAGCCAGGCGGCCATGTGCCCTTTTGTCATCGCAACAAATGCATCATGAAAAAGCATGATTTTTCTGGACCTTATGAATACCAAAAGCTGTTCTGCAGAAATGATGTTTTCCAATTTCCAGTATCAACATTTATTAAAGACGATGGGGTCGTTAAAAATATTTTGCCGAACTTCAGTTTGGGTACATGCATGCATACATACATGTATTGTACACATGTGCATGTGCAGTGGTCAACTCACAATGAGACATACTGGGAGCTCGCTGCGGACGTGACGTACTAATTGCGTGTAAAAATGATACATTAATAGAAGTATTAAACTCCTTCTCCATCCCATATTTATGAGCAACTTTGATTTCAAAAGTTTTACACGTTTTTCCAAAGTTTATTTAGGCGTTACAATTCCCTGAAATACCGTTAGCAGAGGCGGTGTGACATTTTCTGAACATGTTTCACCGACCAAATGGTTGTGTTTAAACCCTACTTGTAGGATATGTGAAAACAGCAAAAACAGTATGCTGAAATGGGAATTTCTTACTTAACAGGATACAAAATCAATCTGGATTCTGGTTCTGGTTATTTTTTTCACGAAACAGATTCAACTACCAAATTGGGGCATTGAATATATTCGAGTGACCCTGGTATCAAGTCAGCATTCTTTTCCAAGATGGCCACCACGTCCAAGTTGCAATTTGGAATTTTCCATCGGTCTTTTTTTCCCCAATGGATAACAGCATTTTATTTGAGATCTACAAACAATTTAGAGCTCTTGCAAAATTCTATCATAGCATATAAATACTACAATTTTGACCAAACAAAAGGAAACTTTATTTGGCCCATGCATGCACCAACTCTCGTCACACGCTGAAGTGCTGCTGTACATGTACTCTGTGTGGCAAAATCATTTTTTCCCTGCAGAGTTGCCTTCAATCGAACACGAGTCCAACTATGATCAGCATCCAATCCAAATTTATTTTACATGTTCGTTTATGACATCACTGGCCTAATATGGAACGTAAGGGCATGAATAGTGGAGACTGGCATCCATATGATTATACATGCCCACTAGGCC